TAATAATTAATTGCCAAAATTTTTGCAATAATAGAGGTTTGATAATTAATAATTAATCAATCTAAGTTGATATAACATTTAAAAAAAAACAAATGTCAACGCTAATTGTAGATTAACTTTCAGAAGAAGAAAAGATCTAAATAACAAAGATTTTATAGATTTTCTTTTCTTTTTTTATTATTTATTATTTGCTGAATATCGATTTTTCACAAATAATTAAGATTATTTTTGTATTTTTAATACAACCTCAGAAAGAATGATTATTATTTTTCACGACTTTGAATTTTTTTTTGTTTATTTTTTTCAAAATTAGTATAAAAAAAAATTGTTATTGTAAGAAATAATGATTGTTCATGCAAACTCAAAAAAAAAAAAAAAAAAAAAAAAAAAAATTGATCAATTGCCAAATGTTTTGACAATAATTGAGATTTGATCATTGACAATTGATCAATCTACGATGCATCGTTTTAAAAAATTTAATGACAATCACATTAAATATAACACTAATTTTTCTCTGAAAAATATCAGCATTAACGGTAGATTAACATATAGAGGAAGAAAAAAATACTAATAACAAGGATTTTATAGTTAATAATTTATCATCTTTTAGTTTATATTAATTTTTGACTTATTGCGTCTCACTGGTAAATTAATCATGATTCTTCGACATGTATTAAACAAAATGATATTCAGAATTTCTTTGATGGAAAATAATAATAATAATAATTTTCATCACCCCATTTTTACCCCATAAAAATACCCACAAAAAAATAAAAAATAAATGCAATTTTTTTTTTTAAAGGAGGGGGCTGGACAGCCTAGCCACGCTGGGCCGCGCTCTAGGCCTGGTGGGCTGTCCAGCCCAAACGGCCATAAAAATAGAAAAATACCCTAAATCGACCTAAGTAGAAAGAAAGAGCCAAAAACAGCAGCGAGAAGAAAGCTGTGGCTGCTCCAAACCAGACATTTTCGACCACCATGCACTGGCCTTTCCAGATCGTCCGACAAAGACGATTCCAGCGTCGCAAAAATCACTCACTTCTGACGAAGGATCAGCCCTCGCGCAACGCCCAAAGATCTGCCACTATTGTTGTTCACATATTCAATTTGGTCCCTGGACTTCTGATTTGGTAATCATACCCATGTGCTTCAACATTTTTTTTGTTTAATTTTCATTCGAATTTTTGTGGATGCATGATTACATTATTGATTTATATTCTATAATATCAATTATGTGATTAACATAGAATTGAGATGATTAATCAAATTAAAATTATTTAATTTAAGTTTAATTGAAAAAATTTGAATTGAGAGTTATTGCAGTTATTTGACAGATTTAAAAGGATTCTAATTTAATCTTTTTATGTGTATTTGTGATTTTATTGGGATAGAGAATGTTTTTTATTTTGTTAGGATTGGTGTTATTTTTGTTTGTAATATACAGTTGTTATTATTATTATTATTATTTCAAAAAATGAGGGGTTTAAAGGTTGATATATTATATATTATTTTTATTTTTCACATAAAAAGTCCTTGAGGAACTATCGATCGGTGATGAAGCTAGCAATAAGCTAGAAAGTTTTTTAAAAATTAAAATAAGCCAAATCAAGATTAATAGGTAAGGACCTTATGGAGATTTATCGACTATTTTATTTTTCATGGTGTCGTCTTATGCAATTTGTGATTTTTACATGTTTAATTTTATGTCTTACACTTTGTATATTTATTATATGTGATGTCATTTCGAGTGTATGTCAGTCTAGTAGGATGCGGGACTTACTTTGTTATAATAATGAATCTTTTTCTCATCATTTATTTTATTTTATTTTTTATTTTATTGTTTATAGTTTATTTTAATTTTTTTTTTATGGTGCTACTAATTTCTTCTTCTTATAGATTTAACTTTGAACTTAGGCTTTAAGACTCAATTTAATATTTTAATGTGGCATGGTAGAGTGATATGGGCTTGAGGCCCATGTTTGTTTTTAGTTCATTATGGATTTGTAATTTTATTTTTTTATTTTTTTTTATGTCATAGTTTGGCAAGTGAATTTCGCCTATGGCCCATGTTCATTTTATTTTTATTTTTATATTTTTATGGTATTAGAATTTAATTGACAATGGGCTTTAAGCTTTGATTTTTACCTTTCTAGATGGGCTTCAACGGCCCAATGACATTTTAGGTGAGAGACTAACGTTTCTTTTAGTCTCGAAATCACATTTCTTAGAACTAGTAAAATAAACAAAAACACAAAAAAAAACAAATAATCAAACACATAAATCAAGATAAAAAGATAATTTGCACAAATGAATTTTCCTAAGCTAGAATTACAAAGTAACTTCATTGCAAAGACACATTAGGATGATTGTAATCTTCCTTACTTGTGCAATCAAGCTTCTTACTTAGAACTCTTAAGATCGGTGTTAATTTTTTCTTATTTTTTACTTTTTAAAAAATTGAGTGATGACTCTACACCAATACGTTTTTATTTTTATGATTACTAAGAGGTCGCCGTGTGATAATAATAACTATCAAGCTGAGAATAAAGAAATTTTTTAATCAATAATTATGCACTTATTGATTAAATTTAACCATCTTCAAACATAGATTGCTCAAATATCCTTTTGTTATCTTTCTTTCCTTCTACCAATTATTGATTCTCTTATTTAGATTTTTAGGTGTTACAGATAATTGATTGCATATTTGTTTTTTATTTTAATCAAACATATTCATAGCATATATTTAAATTAAAAAATGAAAAATAAACATGATATTAAATACTATAAAATATTATAATTAATGTTTATTTATTTTAATTTCATTAACTTAATTTTTTTAATTAATTAAAATATTAAATAGATTTTATAAACTTTGTTCGCATGATTGTTTAGTGGGTTTCCCATCCCCACGTTTTCTTCTTCTTTTTTCACATGTGAAGAAAAAAATAATTCAATTCCATTAGTTAAGCACGTGACTTTTCTGATTTTTTAAATACAAGTAATGTTAAATTTGTTGCAATAAAATTTTGAAAAGCTATGAAATTAGAAATAAATTATATTTTTTATTATAAGAAAAAGGGAAAAAAATTATAATCAAGGACTCTATAAAATTATGGGGAATATCTTTAATTTTAGTTCACATCCTCCACCAACTTGTACGTTTCCAGTTGATTAAATGCCACCCCCTGCCCACTTCACACTAAGATAATTTAATTTTTCATATTTGGAGCACATCGCCAGCACTCTTTACGAAACACATGAAAAAATATTGACAACAAAGCAACTATCTACTGGTTGGAAAGAAATTAAACATCATATAACTGACCTTTTTATCTATAATAATAGAGTAAATTATAAATTAGTCTCTTTAGTTTTGCAAAATAAATGAAATGATCCTTTTAGTTTTAAAAATGAATTAATTAATATATTTTGTTCATTTCATGTTCTTATTCAATTTTTTTCCCTAAGAAACAGAAATAGAAAAAGTAAAAAATTAAATAAATAATATGAAAAAAATTGATGAGAGAAGAAAATATTTTTTGAAATAAAGTAATACTCTTTCTATTCCAAAGAAATTATTCTTTTTTTACTTTTCACATAGATTAAGAAAATTATTAATTGTTACACGTCATATCAATATTATTTTTTTCATAATTTTCTAAATTGCTTTTTTTTTTTTTTTAAGAATTGTAGTTGGATAAGTTATAACAAAATAAACTTTAATTGAGAGTTTTTTTTTTTTTTTTGAAAAAAATACACCACTTAAAATTTTGATTAGAGAAGTATTTTGGGATAGATATAAATAAAAAGATATATATATATATATATATATATATATATATGAAAAAAGTATTAAATTAACATGATCAACCATGGTAAGAGACTAATTAATTACTCCTATCTCAAAGGGATTGTCCCTCTCTCTCTCTCTCTCTCTCTCTATATATATATCCTAAAATACTTTTCTAATCAAAACCTTAAATAATTTTTTTTTAAAATATCCGTAATGATAAAAAAAAAAATCAATTCTTTTTTTATTTCATGTTCTTCACTAAAAAAAAAACTAATATTTTTTATATTTTTCCTTGTACATAGAAATACTTTTAACATAAAAATTTTAAAGAAAATTTTTTTCTCACAAAAAAAAAATCATTTTTATAGGGATTTTACATGATTAAACTTTAAGAGTAAAAATATTTTCATTATTATGTTATTTTTTATAATTATTTTAGACTTAATCGTTAATTAACTTATGATCTTTTCTTTGATTTACCATCTTAATTTTGAATTGATTTTTTTTTATATTAATATTGGTTCCATTTAATGTAAGATTAAATTTGATAACTAAAAATAAATAAAAAAGGATATTTTAAAAAAATGAATAAAAAATAATGATATGACAAAGCAATTAATAATTTTTTAAAATTATTTGAGAAGTAAAAGAGGGCAATTTTGTTGAGAAAGAGTAGTTTTTAAACCTAGAAGGATTATTTAATCCGATCCGTAAAACAAGTAAAACTAATTTATAACTTACTCCTTTTGTACAGGATACAGATTGGATAGCTTACTTTCCTCCTAGCTTTATGAACCATTGCGCCGCCCCACCTTCATTAGAGCCCTTTTGTAAGTGAAAGCAGCTCCTCCTTGGTTAAGCAAGAATTTGATCATACTCTGTATAACGTAAAAGAAAGTTGAAGAATGATGAAATAGACGTTAAAGTTGAAAATGAAGCATTCCACCTAAAAGTTTCGTAAAATCATTGCTCTTCCAAGAGAAGGGGGTTCCGTGTGGGCTATACAAATGTTTACTATCCAAGTAAGGAAATAAATACTAATATCCAACCCCATTTTAAATCATTATGATGCTGGATAGGATTTTATTTAAGAGAGGAGATCTTTTTCTTTTTTCCTTGGAAATAGTAGCTGTTACTGTGCTTTTTGTTGTTTGGAAGGCATCTTTTGAGGCAAAATAAAATCCAGAATTGCTTTTCTTCACAAAAAATGGTTGCTGTTTTCAACAAAGATCTCTTAAGTTGGTACCTCATCACACTCAAACTCCGAGAAACAGTCGAATCTGCTGTACCGAAATCACCTGCTGGTGCCCCATTGCTAGAATTTCCAGAACAACCTCAACAGGAACTGCAAAAACTACAGCAGACACCATCAGATTCCTTGCAGATCGTGATCAAAAGTGATGAAGAAAATCATGAAGAGGAGGAAGCAAGATCACCAGATTTCGACTGGGTGATATCAATCAAAGGAAAACTTGACCAAGCTGGCCAAGATGATGCAGCAGGTTCATGGTCAAAGTTGTCCATCTACCGAGTCCCCCACTATCTACGGGAGGGGGACGACAAGGCTTATGTCCCCCAGATCATTTCCTTGGGGCCTTACCACCATGGTAAGAAACGCCTACGCCAAATGGATCGACATAAGTGGCGTTCCCTTCACCATATCCTCAAGCGTACTAATCAGGATATAAAGCTCTATCTTGATTCTATTAGAGAAGTTGAAGAGAGAGCTCGTTCTTGCTATGAAGGACCAATCAATCTTAGCAGCAATGAATTTGTGGAGATGATGGTTCTCGACGGCTGCTTTGTGCTTGAACTGTTTCGAGGTGTTGCTGAGGGATTCAAGAAACTTGGTTATCCTAGAAATGATCCTGTTTTTGCAATGCGTGGTTCAATGCATTCTATTCAGAGAGACATGATAATGCTAGAGAACCAGCTTCCGCTGTTTGTACTCGACCAGCTACTGGGACTTCAGTTTAACAATCAGAAAGGATTGGTAGCCCAGCTTGCGCTAGTATTCTTCGATCCATTGATGCCAACAGATGAACCGCTGACAAAAAGCGATAGGAACAGATTGGAGTCCTCTTTGGGATGTGCCGCCACCTTCGATCCCTTGTCAGATCAAGGAGGCCTTCATTGCCTTGATGTTTTCCGAAGAAGTCTCCTGCGCACAGGGCCTAAACTAGTGCCCAGAAATTGGATCAAGAGATGGTCAAATGCCAATCGTGTTGCTGATAAGCGGCGCCAACAATTGATCCATTGCGTCACCGAGCTCAGAGAAGCCGGAATCAAGCTCAGGAAACGGAAGACCGATCGATTCTGGGATGTAAAATTCAAAAAGGGATTCTCCGAGTTCCTCGTCTCTTGATTCATGATGGTACTAAATCACTTTTCCTCAATCTTATTGCATTAGAGCAGTGCCATATTGACTGTGGAAATGAAATTACCTCGTATGTGATCTTCATGGACAACTTGATTAACTCCCCCGAGGACGTAGCATACCTTCATTATTGCGGCATAATGGAGCATTGGCTTGGCAGTGATGCTGATGTTGCAGACCTCTTCAACCAACTCTGTCGAGAGGTGGTTTTCGATATAAATGACAGTTACTTGTCCCGATTGTCTGAAGATGTAAACCAATATTACAATCACAAGTGGAACACTTGGCGTGCAAGTCTGAAACATAATTATTTCAGCAATCCCTGGGCTGTCGTTTCATTGTTTGCTGCTGTCGTGCTGTTGCTACTCACCTTGGCACAGACCTTCTACGGAGTCTATGCTTATTACAGACCAAGATCTTGATTGCAGTGAGGCTTTCTTTATTCTTTTTTTTTTTTTTTTTTTTTTGAGTTGCAGTTTCTGAGTTAAGGTTTTCAGACAAGGAAAAAGGGTTTTTTTTTATTACAGACCAAGATCTTGCTGCTGTCGAGCTGTTGCAGTTTCTGAGTTGATGTTTTCTTTATCCTTTCGGGGTGAGGATTGTTTGGCCTCAAGGCTTTCAATTTTTGGCAGTTCTTTTTATGAGTTCATATACAGAAAGTAGCTGCAATAAAACAACGGAAGCGCAGCGCTAGAATTTGTAAGTTCTACGTGTTTGCTCCTTTTCAATATAGACTTGCAATGCTGAAAATGCCAGAGAAGTTTTCAGTGGAGTAGGGCGTGAGCTTGACTGATAAATTTACTCCCCAGCACCATGTCCAGAAGAAAATCCAATGAAATCCATAGCTCAAGGAAAAAATTTAGGCCACCACCTCCTTGAACGTTCTTTTAAATTCGACACTACACTAATACGGTTTCGCCATAGCTCTGAATGGGAGGTTATCACAGAAGATTTCAACGTCAAAATGTCTTGCAGGTACGATTCCTAATTGCAAAACAGCCTTCCACTTGGTATACCAAGACATTAGTTGAAGGCTACGTTTCTGCAGAAGGGAATGTGGAGTAATGAAAACTGACAAAACCCAAAACTAACAATAGCTAAGAACAAACATACTTTCTGCAATATTTCAATGGAAAACGTCAATGATTACACCTAATGACATCACCACTATTTCCTTGATCATATAATTCAAATTACAGACATGTGATGGCAAGTAGTGCTTTGAGAAAGAATCGGCGCTGCTAATATTCGTGATTCATAACATGAGACCACATCATGTAAGGGTCAATTAAGCTCACCATAAAGTTAGGAAACTAAAATCTGCTAATGCTTAAACCATGGAGTTTGGAGAACACCTGTTTTCTAAAATGAACTTCCTGCAACACCCTGAATAATTATGCAGTTAATGTTTTCTTGGTGAGAATGATTTAGGGCATGTGAACTCTGGTAATCAGTTCGAGCGAACTATAACTCCGCCACTAATCATTCTAAGCACTTGCATGATTAATCAGTGTACCTGTAGAATAGGCAGCCGGACATTTTGCAAAGGATAAAGCTATTTGTCACAGAAGACTGATCACATATAGCACAAATGAAATCATAAAGTTGTATTCACTTGAAGCTCTGCACTGCCTCTGGTCATGTGCTATTCACAGCAAAACTTCCATGATAAATAGCATCACTCTTTTGCAATAGGTTACACCAAATGCTATCAATCTGCATGACTGCGGGCCAATAAGTACACAGGTTGGACTCAAGCAAGCCCCTATAGATGTACCTGAATGTGGAAACCACCTGCCAAAACTCAGAAGTTTGTGCATGACCAAACCACTGAGAGCATCAATTCAATCCTAATGCAAAGATTTTAAAAGGTCTATTGAAACTGGTATAAACATGCATCCTTGCTGCGTTCTTCGTATCGAAAGGTATGATTCAAAAGAACATGAAAAAATAGAGATTGTCTCAGATAAAAAGGTATCATCGAAAGAGAAAATTGGCATTTTTAAATGATTGAGAAATGAACAATGTATAACTAGACTGAGCATAATCCTAATGCAATGTTTGACTAGCATTGCCCTCAGTAAACTACGAGTCAGTAAAGTAACAATACAGCAAATGAAATGAGGCATGCCCTCTTCTTTACAAGAAGTAATCCTTATGAAAAAAGGGCATGATGAACCACTTTGCTTTCTTTGGCTGCACTTTCCACAGGCAAGCTCGCTGAGTAAATGGGGGAATCTTAGTAAGAAGAAATAATGGTTCAATGAACCAAAATTAGTCTTCAAAACTCTTCGACAACAACCATAGCCTTCAAAATGCTCCACCTGTCAACATAAAATTGCCAAAAGCAATCAGACTGCCTGCACTCAGACAAGTTTAACAAAACAAATAACAGGCATTCACACATTAGTTTCAGACTACCTATTGAATTCAGTCCATAGGAAGATCTGCACTTTCAGTCGAAGATGCCTTCTTTCCATCATATCGCTGTTAAACAAGAGAAAATAACCAGAATTAAAATCAAACAACCATAGCAGCAAACCCAGAGAGAATGCATACAAAGTCTGATACGACGATACCTGTTTACCAGTAGAGAATGGAACATATCTATACTTGATCATATGTGAAATCTGTCTCCTCATAGTAAGAACGAATAGCATGACCCAGTAGGTAAGTAATATCGGCCAAAACACCGGCACATCAAACACACTTAAAAATGTCATTACAAAGGCAATACAGAACGCCTTGGTAATCGAATACCTACAATAACAACATCAATAATACCAATCAAAATCAGTAATTCAATCCCACATCACCCCCGATATTTCGCGAAACAACCAAATTAACCAACTAATTAACATTTCTATCAAATTAAAAGAGTAACGCCAGCAATTTCACCATAAATCAAGAAACCCTAGAAACGGTCAAAATCAAAAAGTCAAAACCAAATAACGATTGGATGCTACATTACCAGAACTTGAATTCTGGTAGCCGGCGAACAAAGGGACGGAACTCATCGGATCCACGAGTAGGAAGAGTGGGGCCGTCATGGATCTCAGGGTCAATTTGGGGAGACAAAAATCCAATCAAGAGATTAAGCAAGTAAATACCAAGACCGTAAGTGACTATGTAGAAACCTTGAACAAGGCACACGCGGATTGCGTAGATCAAGACTACGATTAAGCATGCGACCCAACGGTAGAGGATGTGTGGGACAGTTTTGTCAAGAAAGTGTTGGTACCGCTGTGTAACGGCGAAGGACCACCGTGACAGGGTGGTTGCTGGCGTTGATGATAGAGAGGAGAGATCGTCTCCTGATAGAGTCCCGATTGGCTGCCCGGTTTCCATTGCTGTGTGTGTGAGAGATTTACAAAAAATATTTTATAGGGATTTTAAAAGTCAACTGGTGTGAAATATAATTTTTATAAAAACAGTTTTCAAGACATTTTTTTATCTTTAGATCGGCTTTCACTTCAAATAAAACATGAAAAGTTTTTTTTTTAATGGGATGCTACTTATTTTATTATTAAAAGACAAAAATAACTTTAAAAAAACCATTAAATCATAAAAATACTAATTTTGCATATTTTACCTTAATATAAAAACTTTAAAATATGCAATATTGATATTTTTGTGATTAAAGTTCTTTAAATTTTAATATAAGCTTATATTCTGGATTAATATAAGCTTGGTAAGATGTTAGGAAAGAGTTAGCTCATAATAGCTGTGGATTTTAAAAGTACCAAAAGGGTTTGTAAATAAAGAGTTAGCTCATAAAATAAAGAATTAGGATCATAAAAGTTATGGATTGAACATCAAATACGCATAACTGTTCAAATGTTAACTCCATAATGTCATATTTTGGTATGGCATGAGATGAGACCAAGATAGAGTTTAAGGAGAGGTTTTTTTGTGTCCAACTTTTTTTTTTTTTTTCTTATGTTTTGATATTCAATTGTTGATTTCTAATCATTTGCTATCCAACTTTTGATTTTTATTTAATTTGTTTTGGTGCATGACTTAACTTGAGGTTCAATTTTGTTGATGTGCCTTGCAAAAGCTATCACATTACGATCAACCCTAGACACATCAACGCTTCATGCTCTAAGATAGGGGTGAGCATTTGGTTAAACGGTTCGGTTAAGCATAATTCGTTCGGTTTTCGGTTAACCAAAGTAGAAAAAATAAAAACCAAAACCGAACCAAAATTAATTCGGTTAATTCGGTTTATAACCAAATTATTTCGGTTTGGTTTTGAAATAATTCGGTTTAACCGAACTTTTTCATTACTTCTCCATTTCGTACTTTAGACAGTTCTCCCAAAACTTTCATTTATTTTTTCTTTGCCTAAGCTGAGTAATTAGCAATGCCGAGCTAACAAGTAACCACTTTCTTTTCTAAAAAGGATTCAACACAAAAAAAAAATTCATAATTAAAGTCAAATTTAAACACCCAACAATCCAACATGTTTAACATTCATATATCGAAAAAGGAAATAAGTCATGCAAAATAATTGTTGATGAAACAAAGATCCGGATAGAATGCAATCGACATTAAACAACAAAAGCATGGTAGAATGTCCGTTCTCATTTATCAACAAAGAGGACAAGACACGAGCTCTTTTCTCGTCATAAAACAAATGATTTACGTGCATTTGTAATACCTTCACTCCGTCGGGATTTGCAATATAATGAAATCCTAACAAACACTCAATGCTCATGAAAGAGGATATTAACATGCTACGAAAATCAAAGGCGGTAGGCCTATTGGCCACTCGTCGATAGGCGAGAGACACCAAGGTAGTAAGCCTATCGCCCACTGCTCGTAGCCCTACAACGAATGGCTAGTAGGCTACCGGCGGTGGGCACGAGGCGATGAGGCTACTACCTACTATGATTCTCTTCTCTAGTTCAATGAAAATAAAAATTTACAATACCCACTTACTAACTAAACTTGCACAAACAACAAAAATAAAAAATCAAACTTCGAAAGTAGAAACTTAGTAACTTACACATACTATTCATCGCGCCAAAACACTAGCATCAAGTCATCAAACCATCAAGATTCAACCATTTGTAATAGAGGTAGTGGCAAGTGGTAACTCGAAAATTATAAGATAAAAAAATTAAACTTTTAATATTAATATAAAGGAAAGAAATAACAAATGAAAAGGTAAGAGTTATAGAAATTACCATCTTGCATTTTCTCAACATCTTGCAAATTTTCTTCAATAATAATTGGTGTTGATGAATTTTTAATCCAATCTTGAGCACATATAAGAGATTCCACTAAACTAGGCGTCAAAGAACTTCTAAAGTAGTCAAGAACCCTTCCTCCAAGTGCTAAATGTCGATTCCGAGAAAACGAGTAGAAACGAGAACCGTCAATATATCCCTAGCCATTTGTGAAAGGATAGGAAACCGAGAAGAATTGGTTTTTCACCATTCTAAAATATTAAAATCAGCACTGTTATTTTCAGCACCTTCACTAAGATATTTATCCAACTCCGTTTTATTTCCTCCACCTCCGATATCACACTTGTATTTTTCAAAACGCATCATTATCTTCCTTTTTATTCTAATTTCTTCTTCATCAATCATTTCTTTATTTGCACTAACCCATATCTATTTTTCGACTCCCACTTACCTTGGCCAATTTCACCTTGAGATGTTGACGAACGACAATAGAAATCATACATAGCATACATAGATTCCTTGACAATATTTGACATTCTTTGACCCTCCAAATCACCATACAATTCATTGATTGAAAATTCAATAAATACAAGTTTATGCCTAGGATCAAGTATTGTCGCAATATAAATCAACTTATTCATTTTCTTAATACCCCTCCAATACTTCTCAAACTTTTCTTTCATTTTATTGGCCAACGTAAAATCATCTAAATCCTCACTTCGTTGCCATTTGTTCAAAACATGTTCGAGAGCATAAATCTCTTTAAAATAAATATTTGAAGTCACATACAAAGAACCCGAAATACGTAAAGTGAGATTGTAAAAAATTTTCAACATGCTCACCAACTTCTTACAAGACTTCCAATCATCAACATTAAGTGATCCAACAACATTATCACCATGATCTACATCAAATTCACTCCTATATAAAGGATCAATTTGCTCATATCTCTTAAAAGCTCTCTCAACCTTTAGAGCCGACTCTAACATCAAGTATGTTGAATTCCACCTAGTAGAAACATTTAGTTATAACAAACTCATAGAATCAATTTTCTCAAGTTAAATGCATTCCTTAAATCTTTTCAACCTAGCTGGAGATTGCCTTACAAACTTAACGGCCGATCGAATACGAATGATTGAAGGATTAAAATGTTTTAACCCATCAACAACAACTAGATTCAAAGTATGTGCCATACACCTCATATGAATGAATTCACCATCTAAGATGCTATAACCTTAATTCTTAATCACATCTTTTAAGTGCCTAATTGTCACATCATTCGAACTCGCATTATCAACCATAACACTAAAAACCTTCTCAATTCCCTAATCAATCAAGCATTTCTCAATGACAATACCTAAATCTACTCCCTTATGACTATCAATCGAACAAAAATTCAATATCTTATTATACAACTTTCAATCATTATCAATAAAATGAGTCGTTAAACACATGTAATTGATTCTCCGAATAGATATCCATGTGTCCGTAGTAAGGCTAATTCTTTGACTATTTTGTTTCAAAAATTGCTTCAATTTTATTTTCTCATCTAAATAAATTTGATAGCAATCTCTTGAAATTATAAAACGAGATGGAAGCTTGAATCTAGGTTGTAAATTAGATAAAAACTTTTTGAATCCCCCGCCCTCTATATGCTTAAATGGAAGCTCATCTAGAATGATCATTTCAGCTAAATCTTTCCTACTAACATTTTGATCAAACTTCCATATGGTAAAATTGTTTTCTCTCGCTTCAAGCTTTCTTAGGTCTAATTGAGTTTGGGTAGAGTCAATACAACTAAAAGGGTTTTTTTACAAGTCAAAACATGAGACCTAAGTGAAGTTGTCCCATTTTTTGAAAGATCATAAGCAAATACCTTATCACAATAGTTACATTTAGCCTTCATGTTTTTCTTGTCATCTTCAAACTTTATGAAATTATCCCACACCATCGATCTTGACTTCATTGATTTCCTCTTCTTTCATTTGCCACTTGTCTTAAGTGTTACTTAGAGTTGCACTTGATTGTGGATTAGGATTGCTTGAATCCACGGTTTCATAATTCATCTCTATGGATTGAGATTGCGACATCTACATAAAAACATAAGAAAAAGAGTATTAAGCTTCACAGTTCACACTCCTTAGTCCTTAAGCTTAAGCCAAAAAAAAAAAAAATCTAGCTAGGCAGGGAGGCACCAAGGCGGTAGGCCTACTATTTGCTCGCCGTAGGCTTTCATAAAAATTCTTGTAGAATCGAGAATGAAGTTTTCATTTTGTACATGCCGGATCATGAATTAGTAACTGCATCCAATCTCTAAAAAAATCCCAATTGTTTTGAACTTTCTCTTTTTTTTTTTTTGGAATGGAATATTTATGGAATCCCCATAAATAGGATCAAACCTTATTCCATATTTTCATGGTATTTACCTCTTTCTTATTCTTAAGCAAGTCTCCGAGAGGGCTTAATTGATCCATGAATTATGGTTCATCTTTCGTTTGTTTTGAGAAATATAGCGATCCTTGGACTGTTGGGAACGGTCTTACTTCCTTAGTTTGTACAAGTCTTTTTGTTTTACTAATTACTATCATTCCGGATATAACATGGTATGGGATTATTTGGACTACAAGAGCAAACCATATTATAGAGCAAGATTTGGTAAGTAATGGTCAACAAATTGGAATTCATTTATCAACATATTTTTTTCTTCCATTTGAATTCATTTCAATAATTTCAAGGACTTATGTAAAGTTGTATAACTTGTATTTGTTAGAATATATACAAGTGAGCGATGGCGATAGGCCTATCGCGGCGACCGCAGGCGATAGGCCTACGCCACCGCTCACTTCGATCACTTGTATAATTATCGGTGGCGGTAGGCCTACCGCCTACCGGTCGTCGGTAGTAGGCTTACCGTCACTCGCTCACTTATATATATTCTAGCAAATACAAGTTATATAACTTTACATAAGTCCTTGAATTACTCAATTCACCGGCCGGTAGCCACGAGGAAGGTAACATAAGAAGTTCTTCCAACTCCAAACATTACAACATTACAAGTTTACAACGGAGACATTATAGAGAATAATCGGAATATGCCCACAACAATACAACATTACAATAGATATATTATAGAGAATTCAGAATATGCCCACAACATTACAACATAGAACTCTTTAGTCTTTCCAACTCCAAACAACCGAGTATAATAGTACATTAGTACTCGCCAAATGCGAGAGTGAGAGAGACCGAGAGAGAACGACTAGAGACGAAGCAGCAGCGACGAGTGAGGCGGCCGAAGGACTTACGACCTATGCAGCGACGGCGAGGCAACGGCGGCGACTCGGAGAGGCGGCGGCAGTCGGCGACGACTCGGCGAGGGACTTTGGGAGTTAGGGTTAGGGATTTGACGATTTTGGTTATTTGGAATTGGAAATGAGAAGAGAAAGAGTAAAACACTAAAATCGGAATTCATAAATAGGAAATAACTCAAATAAGGAATAAATTTTGGTTTTTGGTTTGAACCAAAATTTTTTAAAAAAACCGAATCGAACGAGAAATAAATTTCGATTTTTCGATTCGATTATAAATAGTAAATTTTAAATTTAAAACCGAACCAAATACCTTAATATGGTTCGGTTTGATTTGGTTTTTGGTTAACCGAACCGTTTGCACACCCCTACTTTAAGGTGGTTATGGACTCGCAAATAGAAAAAAAAAATCAAAAGTTAGGCATTGAAATTTTTTAAAAAATAAAGGTTGGTTACAAAAAAAAATTTCAAGAAAATTTATTGTCTCAAGATTGCAAAATTAGTCCAATAAATTCTAATAAATATTTTTCATATCATGCTCTTGGTATTTTTATACTTATAAAAGGTAATTTTTTAAAAAATAAAATAAAAATTACTTCTTACGTCATGAAGAAGATCGATCAACATATAATGGGTGACATAAGTTTTGTATAGCTAATAACTTGTTAAAGTTTTTATAGTAGGTTGAGATGAGTTATAATCAAAATGAATAAGTTTAGTGATCAATTTTCTTTTTTGTTTTATTTGAGCATTTAAAGTGCAAAACTTTTGATAGCGGTGATGACGATGATAGAGATAATAAGTAAAATATGAATTAACTTAAGAAGTGAATGTATTGTTAAATTTGTTTGTGCAATTAGCATGATAAAAAATAAATATGGATACATGTAACTTATATTCTTAGAATTTAAAATTATGACTTTTAATATCTAAAAAACAAATTAAGTGACCATATGTATAAAAAGATTATGGAAGTACAAGATATGCATGAAATCTATTTATAATAAGGAAAAAAAAATAGATAGTATAAGAAGGAGATAGACATTTGGTGTGAGAAAGTTGAAATAATTTTTTTTGAAAAAACAATACTTTCGATATCCAATCGTTGATTTTTTTTTTTTTTTTTTGTTTAGATGCCCAACATTTAATATTTTTTCTATTTCAATGCCTAACTTTTTTTTTTTTTTTTAATATTTGAGAGCTCACAACCACCTTAGAGCATGAGGTGTTGACGTGCATAGAGTTAACTACCATGTGGCATTTTTGACTACCACGTGGCGGTTCTTGTCAAACACGTCGGTAAAATTGAATCTCAAGTGAGGTCGAACACCATAACAAACAAACAAAAATCAAAACTTGAGTTGCAAATTATTAAAAATCAATGGTTAGACACCAAAATCGAAAAAAAAAGGTTGGGCATCCAAAAAATATTTCTCCGATTTTTAAATCTATTAAAGTCTTTACCAATCTTTTCTTTACAAGTAAGATTCATTCTCTAGTCAAGAAAACCTAATAGATCCGTAAAAATAATAATTTCAATGTTTTTAGCTTAGTGATAATGAGCTTCTTATACCTGCAAGAGATCATATGTTCAATTTTTTTAGAGTATTTATGCCTAAAAAAATCTTAATTACAAGAAGAGGTTAGAATAACCCTTCATCTTTTTAATAATAGTTAATTCAAATTGTGGTAATATGACCTCCTCTCCTATCCTGCTAACTACTAACGGTAAGTCCCTAACGCTTAATGACTAGGTGGACTGCAAGGTTCCAATCTATGGCAATAAACAAATAATAATAATAATAATAATAATTTCTATATTCTTTAATTCTCATTCTTTCTCTTATTGTGTTAAATGTTAAAGTTAAAGGACAATTACGGTTTGGTCCTTTAAAGGTTGGCTTATATGTGCTTTGGAGTTGCTTTAACCCTTTTTGTCTTTTCAGTGTTTTTTTGGTTAGATTAATTAAGAGGATTAATTGAGGAGAAAGTGTTTGAAATGTTACAGGTGCCATAAAACCACTTGAATCCCTATTTAGGCTTATAGTTAATGGGAATAAATTATAAATTAATATTTTTATTTTCAAAAGATGATTTAATCAGTTTTTTTAAATAATTATTTATTTCTTAATATTATTTTATTTTATAAAACATCATCTTTATTCATCAATCGTTCCATATTTTTTTAATTATTATTTTTTTATTTTTTTAAAATAAAAAATTAAAGTCCGTTTTGCAAGAAGAAAAATAATTAAATTACAAGAAAATTTAAAATTATAAAAATTAAATAATTATTTTTAAAAACTAGAAGGATTAATTTATAATTTATGGAGAGAACGGAGTTGGATAGAATGGATGATAAAAGGACTAATTCTACCTCCCACCTAAAACCAAGGAATTGAATTGTGTTTTCTGATACGACCAGGTTTGATATGAAAAAATTGCAATACAAGAGGGACGAAAATTGGCAGCAAAAGAATACGTATTTGATTATGACGAGAGTATGTGTATGATTTGAAGAGGCAGGAACAGACCAGAACAGCACTGAACAGGACAGAAGAAGCCAATAATTTTAAAAATCTGGTAAGGAATGCGAGAATGTTGTTTGATTTTGGTAAAAAGCTTGTCATTCATTGTTTCTTTCTTACACTTTTAATCAGATCTCATTATGTTTTCTCTATCAAAACTCAAAATGAAGCCAGTCCATATCCATAATTAATCACAACCTTGATTTAATCTTTACATTTTTTTCTCAATACATTTTCTTTAGATTATGATAATTCTAGCCAGTCATATTCTGGTTTGATTATGAAATGCTAAATGCTAGAGAGTGAGAAGGGTTGTTTTTCAGTTCTCTCTTTTGGGTTTTCTTGAGATTTATTATAGCTTAAACAGTTTGTTTAACATTTATTACGTTCTCCAAAACTTGGCCTTACAGAGTTGCTGACAGAATGGATTCTGAATCTACTGACCCATCTACTCAACCCCCTGTTAAAGATTCGAATATTGAATCTTCTTCCAATGACGAAGAACATTCGATGGTTTCTGCCACTCGGGATGATAGTTTGAATCTGGGACAGCCACAGCAGACGAATTCGGAAACTGGAGGTTTTAGGATTTCTGCATTTTCTCTTTTTTCCAGTGGCTTTGGATTGCGTCTTCCTAATACCGAGGAGAGTGGTCAAGGCACTGCAACTTCTACACAAGGTGGTGTTCTGGAATCATTTACTAAAGGTTTGGTTGATTCGTCTCGAAGTGCTGTGAAGGCTATGCAGGTCAAGGCTCGCCATGTGGTTTCTCAAAATAAACGTAGATACCAGGTACCCTTACCTATGACATTTTAGTGATTGTTTAACAGGTTTTCAGTCAATTTCTGTTTTGAGTTATAGCTGAATGCTGGATTTCATGCATCTATCTTGGCAATTTAATTGCTTCACCACTTTGTTTTGTCTTAAAATTTCAAATGAGTTAGCTCACATAGCCAAATAACTTAACAGATGAGGAAATATTCAAATGGTCATTATAAGTGAATCGTTTCATGATGGATTTTTCTCACAGTTCAGGTTATTGATGCCTTGCCTTTTCTTGCATGGAACAGCCTAGCTTTCTTCATCTTTTACTTTTAACATATAGACATTTCCATCGGAAGTAATGTCGATTGCATCATCATATATTTACAGGAGGGAGGATTCGATTTGGATATGGCTTATATCACTGAGAATGTAATTGCTATGGGTTTTCCGGCTGGTGATATAAGCTCTGGACTTTTTGGATTCTTCGAGGTGATAACATTTTCCAGTTTGCATTCAAAATTTCATTGGTAAAATTTAATTTATCTTCTAAAAGATTTATGAACTGAAAATCGATGCAGGGATTCTATCGAAATCACATGGAAGAAGTGATAAAGTTTTTCGAGACCCATCATAAGGTATGGTCTTGTTTGAATTTCTGGCTAGATGTGTGACAGCAAGGGAATGTGACAACAATTCCCGAGGTACAGAAAAAAACTGTCCTCTATTTACATGAACAGGTTCAAATTTGCTGATCAATTAGTTTAAACTGTAAAGTTGGGAACTTTGAATCTGGATGTACCTTAAAGGTGGTGAAGTCTGTAATTATGGATCTCCCGTAAACAATGTGAAAGAATTTCAAGATATTGTTGCATGTATTTGGAGAACATAATCTTTATGAAAATGCACAGGATGTATCAAAACTAACTTGAGAATGTTGCTAATGATTCGGATGGAACTGGGGTATCTCCAATATTTGCATGTAGTGAATGGAACACTGAATATATACTTCAGAAGGTCAAGCATAATTGAACCATGCTTGAATAGTCCAGGGCTCTAACCATAAAGTGGAAGTACTTTGAGTGGAATACTTAATATCTTACACATGATATGGCTTTGTTGCTTAGACATAACTCATTCTAGGACTCAAATGTTACCCCGAATCATTCTGGCCCCAGGCTAATAGCTGAATTTGTGATCCAAAAGCATTTGTGCGGAGCTTCGTATAACTTTTTTTAGCTAGGCATTAAAATTCTTTACTTTCTTTCTTGTTATTACTGAAATTTTATTGCTGAAATCAGACTCTAGAGTAATGGCTTTAGATGCTATTCGTTATAGTTCTGATCCTGAACAACCTGCATTCTCTTTAAAATCCATCTGTCTTATCCCAACCAATATTCTTAGTCTGCTGTATTATTTTCAATTTACTTTAAATCTTTTGTTTTTGCACGCCTATTATAGTTCATGGATTCACTTGTAAAGAATCTAGCTTACATCAAGCTGGGTTTATGCTTGACCTATGCTTTATGTTTGGGAATCCCATTTTGCTGATATCATCATGGTTTCTGTTCAGGGAAAGTTCAAGGTATACAATCTTTGTTCAGAGAGACTGTATGATGCATCACGATTTGAAGGAAAGGTATGGTTTTCCTCTTCATTTGTCTTTACGTATTCTGATTGTCTTTGATATCAACATCAAAGTCTAATGTTACAGTGGATCTGAAACAGATTAAAACTCTCTACTGTCAAGCCTAATTTGTCTTAATTACTTGTATTGGTTCTTGATATCAATGGCTCCCAATAGTCATTCCTAATTTTCTATTGATCTCAATACTGATTTCTGGTTACTCGTTATACAGGTTGGTGGACTTTTCTTAATCTTCACTTGCAGAGTAAAAACAAAACCCATTTATTAAAAATACTGACAGTACAATTTCTTTCAGCAACGCCTTCCTATAGCCCTGATGCTCTTGATTAATTAATTATTATTTTTTTTTAAAAAAAAATTCTCTTGTTTGAGTTTTTAAGGGTTCCTAGCTATCCGAGTTGCACAATAAGAAGTAATTGGCATCATGGTTGTTTCTGTTACGGAGAAATGGTAATGTATATATTGTGTGGATGCTATGATATCTTAAACATATTAAGAGATAAGAATATCTTGGCAAGTATAAACTGCGATTTGTCAATAACAATATCTTTCCAGAGTGCTAATATTGTTTCTTATGTTTAGGTATAATAGAGATCTATTGCTTCCAAAACGAAAGTGTTAAAACCTTTTAGGCGATATACTATTCTACTTTGCATGGTTGTTTGAATTTGAATAACTTGACCAATAAATATATACTGATCTTTCGGATCTTTTCCAGGGGGTGGGGATGGACTAGTATTTAACTATTCATTAATTTATTTTTGCAATATTTGTCTTTGGGCCTTTTCTAAGTATTTTTTTCGGATCTTTTCCAGGTAGCATGCTTCCCATTCGATGACCATAATTGCCCTCCACTTCAACTAATAACATCATTTTGTCAAAGTGCATACTTGTGGTTGAAGGAGGACATTCAAAATGTGGTGGTTGTTCATTGTAAAGCTGGAATGGGCAGGACAGGTTTAATGATATGTAGCCTTCTTCTATTCCTTAAGGTGACTATTGGTATTTCATTAAGAATCTCTCAGTTTAGTGGAACTTGGCTGTGTCCTTGGTTCTGTGGTTTCGTTTCTTTCAATCGTATTCTTATTTCGTTTTTCCTCTTCGTGCAGTTCTTCCCAACTGCTGAGGAGGCTATTGATTACTTCAACCAGAAAAGATGTGTAGATGGGAAGGCTCTGGTTCTTCCAAGTCAGATTGTTAGTCAATTTCATTTGTGTAATGCTTTTTAAGGAGTTTTGTGTGACTTTGATGCGATTGCTTTTACTCGCATTCCGCAAAAAGTAATTATTTTTCTGCAACCAGAGGTATGTCAAATACTTTGAGCGCATCTTAACATACTTCAATGGCGAAAATCAACCTGAACGAAGGTATAACCGTGGCATGTCTCTCAAACTTTGAGAAGTTAGCTTCACTTGGTTACTCAAGTTGTAATTGTACAGGTGCATGCTTAGGGGATTCCGGCTTCACCAATGTCCGTATTGGATAAGACCCTCTATTACTGTCTCTAACCACAGTGGTATGCTCTTTCCTGCAGCAATTTCATCCTTCCACCAGCTGAGTTGCATTGAAGATGTCTCATTATTTTCACAAAAATATGCATGATATAAGACCTACTCTTAGAGTCAATTCATTTGTCAATTATTTTTATTGTACTTGTAATTTATTTGTCCCACAATGACCCTGACACATTCTGACCTGCCTACACTATTGATTTGGCTTTCTGTATAAAAGTGTTTACTAATCTTACATGTAAAACTACATTTGTGAGTGGTAGTAAAGTTCCCAATACAAGTTTTCTTAGTGTTTAGTCAGTGAGCCCTTGTCCATCAGGGGTACATCCAGATTCTCTAACATTTCAAAATGAAGTTTCTTCTAATTCATTTATTTCAGTTCTAGCAGTGAGTTTACTGCTTTTGTTTATTGTCACAAAAATTTTCAAAAGAAAAGTTGGAACTTTTTTCTTTTTGTGTAAGCTTATGGCATTTATACATTATACCCTTTTTTGTTTGTCATTTACTCATGTATGCATGATAGTATAACCAGAGATGTTTCCCTTGTTTTCACAGGGGTTCTGTTCTCAACCAAAAAGCATCCAAAAACCAAGGATTTAATGGTAGATATTTATTGAATTTATTTGTCTAGGGTCTCCATAGTTGATGTTATTTGTTGCTTTGTCTCAAACTATTAAATTTCTCATCGAAGTTTGTCAAACCAACCTCCACAGCCAGAAGATTTCTGGATCCGTGCACGTAAGAAAAAGATGGTGGTCTTTGCTCTACCAGGGGAGCCTGGTGTAACGGAGTTGGCTGGGGACTTTAAGATCCATTTTCATGATCGCCAAGGAGATTTCTACTGGTTTGTAAACATCCTACATTAAACATTTATATATTCACAACTTATTTCCTCATAAATTTGAAGGTGTTACAATGAAAGAATTTACCTCCGTCCGATTTACTCTTACCAATTGATAAGCCAAAGTTGACAAAAAATTTCTTGTAATTAATGTTCATTGGCCCTATTTGCTTCTCTATTGATCTGTTACACATAACTCCAATTCTTGTGGATTAATCCTCTTTTTCTTTTTTTCATAATTCAGTTGGTTAAATACTACAATGACGGAGAATCGAAAAATGTTAAATGGCTCTGATCTTGATGGTTTTGACAAGGTATTTAATGATTCTACCTTTCTGGATTTCTTATTTAGCAGTTAAATCATGCAGCGAGAGATAGATCTCTTACACTACTTCTCAGGCCCGCTATTGATGTTCTGCTGGTTCTTTGCAGAGAAAACTACCTTCTCCAGGTTTCCAGGTTGAAGTTGTGATGATAGACTATGATGGGACTTTACCTGCAAGGTCTAAAGTTGATTCGGCCCACAAGGGATCTGATGTTACTAGCTCTGGTTATGTTCCAGCCACAGGTGGTGGAGTTGCAGCTCATTCCAACAGAAGTGATGCCACTGAGAATGATGATGATGTATTCTCAGACAGCGAGGGAGAGGAAACTGGGGTTTCAAAGAGCAGGCAAGCTCAAGCTGCATCTAGAATTGGACCTGCTCAACCTGATCATGCATCTAACTCCACAGCAGAACAAATGAGGAACTTAACACATGGAGCAGAGCAACTATCACTCAGAAGTCACGAAACTTCACCTATAAATGCTTCCAAGGAACCAACTGCTGGTGAGGTTAGGAACCCTGCCCCTGGTGTCAAGATTCGTCACGTAGACTCTGGAGGAGCCAGTGACATTAAAGCAATTGCTGCTGATGCATCAGTTTTCACTTTCGGAGATGAAGACTATGAAAGCGAGTGAAGCATTGTAAGGCTTACCCTCATGTGAGCAAAATGTGAGGATTTGCAGAATCTTAAGTTAGATATAAGATAAGTCGAATTCATTGTTTTCGTTCCTATGATTTGTTATTTATTAACCCTGAAAGTTTGTACCATTTGCCATGCAGCTATAGCATATTGCCTCAAATCTCTCTTTTTGATTTCTGTTTCCATTACTCAATTATGTCGTTGAAGACTTCTGGCTGCTGGACGAATGCTTGATAAATTGGACATTACATATTTATTCTGAAGTTAATTTTATGGATTCATCGAAAGGAAGTTTTTTCATTTTTGTTTCCATATAGATGTCTATTTATAACTTATCAAATCAAATAATTAAAAGATTATTTTTTCTATTCGTGAAAATAGTAGTATTTCACGGGTGCCCAGAAGAACTAATTAAAATAACTAATCAAATCAAATAGAAACCTTCTCACAAAACACAATAAAAACTTGGATAAAGCCAAAACATGTATTCCTAAGCTTAGTTTCAAATTGCATACGCAATTGTAACATGCTTTTTCATCAATTTTATAAGAGTTCAATTTGTTTGAATCATCGGAATATTTAGAGTCAGCTTCCCCCAATGGTTGTGATTACGATTGCATGTCGTGGTTTATTATATTAGTAAAATAACAATTGCGACAATCGATATTATGAATATATTAACAAACTAGTAGCAATTAATAAATTTATTCTAATTTACATATTTTTTAATAATTTTACGAATTTAAAAAATAATAATATCCATAATAATTTTAAGATCATAAAAAAATAGTTGAATTTATTACCAAAAAAAAAAAAATTAATAACATTTCTAATAGTTTAACATCACACAAACAATAATGAAATTCAAAAATAAAATTAACTCGTCAAATAATAGCGTTATATAATAGTAATGTCGTATAACATTGTTGTTTGTGTAAATGCTATTATGCTCATTATAATGGCATACAACGATAAATACAAATGTCTAAATGCATTAAATAACGACCATTGCGTTATATAATGGCCTTTATTTGTGATGATGCTCATAAATTAAGGTGTTTGGTATCATTGTGGTTTTTTTATTTTTTGTTTTTTTTTTTTAGAGGAAACATATTTGATTGTATTGTTATGTTTTTTTTAAAAAATATATTATGTTAATATTATCACCACAACGATCACAAATATCACCCCATTATAATCATCACAATGATGATCACTATCATAATTAACATAACAATCATTTTCATGTCATTTTTTCACCACCACCACTTTCATGTTTAACATACCCTATATGTTTCATTTTCCTTTTTTACTACCATCCCCTCCTTTAACATTACAACCATTACTCCTCGACACTATTCTATTATTTACATATCCTTTTTCAAACCATTCGTATCATCTTATTATCGTCCATTGTAATCACCAATATTTATTAATAAAATAACAATTATCATAAATTTAATATAAGTATATAACCTTTATCATTATTTTAGTATCGGATTAATCATCGATCACTACTATGCATGTTGTTGTTATGATATCGTTATTTAATCATCGTAATTAAATTATAGAATATAATTATTTTTTAAATTATTGTTATGCATATTATTGTTTATATTTTAATTAATAATATATTATTGTTATAAAAGAAATAGAAATAATAGAAGAATTGAAGAAAATGATAAGAAAATGAAATCACTATAATATGGATACAAGTAATAAGAACTTCAAAGTTTCTCTTATTCTCTCTAAAAAACTTATACACCAATTAATGAACAATCAAGCCTATTTATAGGCTTCAAATTTGAGAAGAGAATTAGAATGGACTATGAATAATCAATTGCATCACCCTTTCGATTTCTCATATTGAATGATGAATTGAATCATATTAAGAATCATGAGTAGTAGAGATATGAAAAGTAGATGAATATGATGATGGACATTCATTATTTCATAACAATTATTATATTTTTTAAGTTTGAATAAATGTTTTTTCCAAGTTTTCAAAAAATAAATAAATAATAAACATAATGCAGTTTTTGGTTTTCTAAAACCAAAATGAGTAAATGGCACTAGAAAGCCTCTAAGCCAACAAAACCAATGGTTCAGATTGATTCTAACAACTAAATACCGAAAGCTGAAAACTACAAGATAAAAAAAGAAAAAGAAAAACTGAATTAATGTTATCATACTATTGGTCTATTACTCCTCGACCTCTACATGTCGGAGAATCATCGAAGCCGAATCATATTCAACGTTCGGGGAGGAGGGGTGGTCGACGGGGCGGGGGCATCATGGGTGTCATTGTCAAGTATGCTCGTGATCGTGACGGTGATGGTGATATTTGAGGAACAAAGCCACCGGGATTCCTACGACGAAGATACTCAATAAGAGAGCATATATATATATATATATATATATATATATCGGATTGGGCAAAGCATGTTATGCTCACATGGTGTTATTTCTCTCCCATCCGGGGCCATAATAAAGTTTAACAAGATTGGTTTTTCTCTGCGCACCATCACTCGTAGTTCATTGTTTTGTTTACTAAGTTGTCCGACTAGGCCAAGAGCGTTCTTCAAATTTTCCAGTTTGAAAGAACAAAAATATAATTCAAGAGGATTGGCTTAAGCAAAAAAGGCTATAGTCATTTAAATCAATAGTTTTGAATTTTAGTTTTTGTGATTGCATAAATTTTTTTTAATAGCTCCGTCCGTTTTTTGCATCCGATCAAATAACAAATGATTTGTTTGTGCATTTTCCTTCTTTAGATCTAATTTCTTGTAATATCGTTTGATTTGTTTGTTTGTGCTTCTTCTTTCTTTTGGGTCTATCGTTTCTTTTTGTTACTCGTTGTAAAATGCTATTGTGTTTTTTTTTTATCTTTAAAACAAGAGACTAGATTAGTGAGGGAAGTGGAACAAAAGCTTAAGAGCTTATAGATCCAATGAACAATTAATCAAATTTAAGAAGAAAGGATTACTTATTAATTAGGAATGGATAAATGCATTGAAAAATTGAAAGCATGAGTTTTCTTATGTCAAGCCCCCCAAGTTGTGCACATGCATCATAGAATACATTACAACTATAAATGATAGCAACTAGGCGAGATAAAGTAGGAAGAATATAGAAAACGTAATATTCCATTAAGCAATATTTTAATTTGTATAGTCATTGGTGATTACAACCAAATTGTTGTCATTAGGCCCTAAATGTAACAAATTGTAATGAGTTAAATAGTTGGCTCCAAATTGGTGAGTTTAATTACGATTTATTTTAATAAAATGGTTTCCTTATGGAATTCATAAATTTGTGATGAATAAATGTTTCGGCTCGTTTAGGAAGCATTTTAATACCTTGAAATATGGAGACGAGGACTTGTATAGGCACTAAAGTAAAAGGGATTCTTTTGTTTTTAGTACTTAAAAGTTTTATAACTAGGTTTCTAAAGAGTTGAGTTTAATGTCTTCAATATGGGAAGAGAATTGGAAAATTCTAAAACAATAGGGAAAAAGTCGGGTAATGAAAATAAGAGCAATGAGGCAATGACAAACCATTTCTTTTTACATGTGGGTTTTCAAATTGGTTTTTAGGTCTTCGTGATAAAAATGATTGTTGAATTATTATTGTTATACTTTATCAATCATTTTGTTTTCTAGTTTTAGAAATGAGGCAAATTTTGTATAAGACATTGTGAAAAAGGTTGGAGAAAAGTTGAAAAGGGCAATGCTATATGTGCCATCTTATGTAGTTGGAATTGATTGTGATACAAGATAGGCCCGAAGACGAGGCGCGAACCCACGTTGAGTCCTACAGTGGCCGTGCCCTTCCCACCCCCCAACCTTTTTTGTTTTTTTTGCAAGGAATATAATCTCCTTTGGCTTATTTTTATCCTCGGTTTACCATCTCGGACCATCCATACTATGTCCATTCATTATATGCATATTCAATGCATTTACACTTGCATGCATAAGTGTAAATATGTTTATCAAAATCACAACGATCATACATATATGTCCATTTATTATATGTAGTATTCGATGTATTTGTGCATGCATGTTTAAATGTAAACATATATGAATATCATTTAAAAAAAAAAAAAGCGACTTTTTTCCTTCATGTAACAAAGTATTTTCAATATTTAGTTTCATAACTTGAAAAATTTACAAATTGAGATTGAACATCATTACAAAGTTGACATATTCAATGCTATGATGGATTCTCAAGTGCAAAAACCGAACAATAGATTCAATGATTAAATGATAAAACTACTCATTTTTTTGTTTGACTTTAGATCTTAGAGAGATGTGCATATCATTAAGGACTAATGACATTTGTAAGTTGATGCAAAAATATTACCCTTAAGACTTTGTCCATTATGAAATGCTCGCAATTAAAGACGTAATTTGAGCATTTTGATCATATACGTAATCTTCATGATTTCAAAACATTATCAATTATATTTGATTTGCATCAATGGTCGATGAATATAAGAAAATTTGAAAGTTATCCATTTATGTATAGAGTGATAACACTTATTCTTATTTTTTCAATTTCTATAACTACCACGAAATGGTCATTTTCAGCTATGAGCATAGTCAAAATTAAGCATCGTAACAAGATGGAAGATGATTTTCTTTTCAACTCGTTTATTAGTGTATATTAAAAAAGAAATTGTTGAAAATTTTAGTATGAATTCGCTTACGGATGATTTTTGTGACTTGAAAAAAATGAAGTTCTCTATTTTGAGACTATTTTAAAATATATGTTAGTATGTTATTTATAATATATATAAATTTATGTAAATCATAAAAAAATTATAAATATTTATTTTGGCCCCGGTAAACATTTAGTCCTGCGTCTGCCGTTGCTTGAAGATGTTGGTATAGCAATAATTCATGGAATGCTAACCGATTATGCTGTCAACTTTGACATTACCAGAAGCATAAGGTCAGTTAAGGAGATGATGAATGCTACTTGAATCCTTCTAATTAATTTGCCTAGCTTCAATGCATTTTATTAATTCCCTGGTTGTCTTGTGCAAATTAATCTTGATTTAATGGCTCGTCCTAGTTTAATTTTTTGCTTCCACACAATTTTTCAGGCATGGGAAAAAGGTTGCAGCATCACCTGCTAGAGAATCACGATCTCAGAAATAGAACTCTTGCAGTTAGTACTCCAAAATTCTGGAGATGGCATGGACTCCAATATCCAGCAAAAATTTCTTGTAGTTGCAAAGAGTTTTTACTACACTACCTTTTGCACTCCTCAGACAATTAACTCCCACATTACTAAAGTACTTTTTGAAAGGGTTTAAGGAATGCCAAAGTCTCCCTGTGTTCAAGATTTATTATTTGCATCAAACATTAATTTGAGATTATTGACATGTTTACTCATACTCTTGTCAATTTAACAAAGACCATATTAAACATGCTAAAAAATACAGTATTCGAGGTTTTAAAAGGCAGATTTTGCAGCATTTGGACTATTCTTTGGCTTGCATAGGATATGTCTAAGCTAGAGAGGATGTCCCTTGCCAGTAGGCACCTTCCAAGCTGTAAAATTAATTGTTGTCTTTCTTCTTTTTTTTTTGGGCGTGACCACATTGTACTATTCTTTGGCTTGCATAGGATTTGCCTGAGCTAGAGAAGATGTCCCTTCCCAGTAGGCACCTTCCAATCTGTAAAATTAATTGTTGTGTATTTTTTTTTTTTTTTTTTGGGGTGAACACATTATAGAGAGCAATTTTGTACAAAATCAAGAAAATCAAAACTTAAAAACGCACATGTTGTATTTATAATCATGAAATTGTAGTAATAATGTATTTGTAATCATATGAAATTGTAGTAATAATGTATTTGTAATCATATGAAATTGTAGTAATAATTACCTTGATGTTATATATTATTATAGATATGGGATATTTCTATAATTTTTATATTATGAAATTATCAATATATCTTATTAAAATTTCTTCAAAACTCATTAATATAACAATCACAATCTCTTTTTTGTATTTCAGTTTTTTTATCAAATAAACACTATTTTTTCATATAATTGTCAAATGCTAAAAAAATATTTAAAAAAAAAACAACTTTCTCAAAAATAACTTTTCTAAAATTAGTTTTCCTATTGAAAATTATTTTCGGTCAAACAAACGGTACCTTACAAACTTCTAATACCGAAAAATGGGCCTGACAGAATAAACGATGAGCCCTCACCGTAAATCCAAATTCAGTACGTTATCTTTAACAGGAAATGATGCTGTCCCAGCTTTGCCAACATTCTGCACTATGTAACTCTGGGGCCGGTTGGTAACTGATATAATTAAATTGAACAACTCCTAAGCACCTTGAAAGCTAACTAAACAAAATTAATTGGCTACAAAATCAAATCTTTGAAAAAAAAAAAAAAAAAAAAAAAGATAACATCCACATCAGTATTTATCACCCAGTGGCATCTACGTTTGCCCCCATACAAAACCCAGGATCTTCTCAATCGCTTTTCTTTGCCCTGGTAACATATTCTCTTGGTAATATATATTCTTTATATCAGCCTTGACAGTAGCAAGCAAGCAAGCAAGGTTAATTAACAACCTTGTGAGCTGCAAAGGACTAGAAAATGTCACTGACAATTCTTACCTATCCTTTTTCTTTTTGTTTTTCATCCCTTCCAATTTCTTTTTTAGTTCGGTTATGATCTTATCCTGGGCAGTGATTTCAAAATCCTTTATTCTTATATCTTTCTTCAGTCTTTCAATCTCATTCAAGTGATCATCACACTAATTGAACTCATGTTCCTTCAGTTCTTGCTTCAGTCTTTCAATCTCTTTTAAGTGATCATCACACCTATTTAAATCCTTCTCCCTCACTTCTTGCTTCAATCTTTCAATCTCTTTCACTTGATCCTCACATCGATCAATCTTCAGTTTCTTGGGATCACCTGAATCCTCACCCTCAAAAGGTCTCTTTTGCTGTGAAACTTGGCAAATAAAATTATCATGTGCCATTTTACGAACCCGTATGCTAACAGATACTCCTGTGTCAAGTTGAATTGCTATTTGCTTCTGTGGCCGTCCAGACCTATCCTGAAATAAGAGAAAATGCCAAAGATCCAGAACTACAGAAATTAGGGAGCTGTCTTCCAAACAAGCATAATTTAGGTGCATATATTCACAGAATTTGAATCCCTCATTCATGCAAATTTAAGGCATGGCTGCAGCAGAAACTAGAATTCCACTGCAGAGCACAATAGACCAGAAAGCTCTGTACTTTTGTGGATCAAGAATGAACTGTTGAAACAGAACTTCTCTTCCCAGAACTTGAAATCTAGCAGTAAATTAATAAATGTACAAATATTTACATATGGCACAACAGCAACTAGCAAATACCTTTTCTAGGCTGCCATTCAAATTTTCAAATGCTCGGGATGCCTCTTCTGGATTCTTAAAGATGGCAAGCACAGAATATCCCACTCCTTGAACTACCTTATGTGTCTGCCACAAAAATTATTCATTACGTTAGAAACTAAGCATGGAGATGCATACAAAAAGAAATGAGAGTGTTGAATCAAAATTATAATTCTGAGATTCAACCAAGATGCTAAAGTTCACTATTGGCCACTGACAAACCTGGCTTCAAATGTGTTAATTATGGCAATATACCAAAAAGAACTTTTTTCTATACTTTCACATGCATGATTAAAATTGATGAGACATAAAAAGCATTGTTCTCCACTGAACAATCATATTAGTAACTCTTTTCATCGTCATCGTCATTATCTTTGGTGGCTATTTTCTGCTGGAAAATGCCAATCAATTGCTACCAGACAAGATATTGTAAGAGGCAAATCCACGAACATAATGCAGTTGCTATCATACTGAGAAGCAGTGACAGCATCAACAGCCCTACAGCCTATAATTTACACTGAAAGCATGGTGACAGGTAAAGAAAAATTACACTGATGTTATCAATATCATATAACTATTCCTGAGGTCGTTCACATGAAGAATAACCTCATCAGAAGCCATTATAAGCCCTAATGTTCTCTTGAGTTATCCAGGTATCAAAAATATAATCACATATTATCTTCTAAAGAGGAAAATAAAATGCAAGCAGAAAATACTCAACCTTGATTTCAATTGCATAGTTTGCAGGGAATAGTATGCGTAATTTTTCTCTGGGGACGGTAACTGGTATTCTGTGGAGAAGTAGCTTTGCCATTTCAGTTTCTGGCACCTACAATTACAAAACAAATAAATCATTGATGACCACACCAGTCAAAATTAGAGACGTGCAGCAAATATATCTTCTAACTTACATTTTTCACATCTGGTTCAATCAATGGAATGTAATTATCAACTCCACGCTCGATCTTAGCAAGCACAAGTTTCATTGCAGCACATGCATCATCCAAGCAGTTGTGTGGATCACCTTCTTTGCGAAGTTCATAGCCAAGCACAGACTGTCAAAACAATAGATGAATAATCAGCCATGCATCTACAAACAACCAACAGTTGCTTTCTTTGCCTTCGATGAATATCCAATGGTTAAATGTCTTAAATTTTATCGTGGAAAGCACTCAAGCATGTATACATGCATGCAGCTCACCTTACACAAATTATTTAAGGACGGCGAACGCCCATCTGAACTTTTGAAAATAAATGATGTATCAATCACTCTTCCATGGCTTAACTTTAATGCTGTCAGCAATAAACAAATTGCAGAATAGAGAGTGTCAAGGTATGACCACATTGCAACCCAAGTTCAAAGATAAGGTTCTATCAACATTTACCCAAAAAAGAAAGAGGTCAAGATAATACCTTCTAGGTCATTATATAGACTATGGCCCACTAAAATAGTTCCCCTCGATAATAACTTCTTCATGGATTTCTGTAAAATGCACGAATTACCTTCAGACAAAGAAGAGCAAATGATAATCTGATACAATAGGTCAAGCACTAACGAACCTGTACATCGGCCAGTGAACAAGAAGCTCCATCCAAAACATCAGCAGTAACTCCAGTAATCTCAGTTCGATAGTCTTCAACTGGTTTGCAAGGATTCACTAATTCATCAAGTTTTACCTGAGAGGATAAAGCCCAAGGTTACTGTATTTAAAGGTGCCAAAATAATTGTGTAAATTTTATGACTTGATCATTTACATTTCAGTTAGGCCTCAATGCTTAAGATATAGATCACTGGAGGGCTTAAAATATACCAAACAAGCAAATCCATAACAAAAGGATCGTTTATACCTTTAAATTGCAATCCACAACGCACACCCTCACTAAAGCATCAGTGCCATCTTTACAGAGAACCATCTCGCAATCAACAGCAAGCATTTCATTACATCTTAGCAGCTTGGACTTTTTTCGGACCTTCGTTGCTACCCATCCCTGCGACATCATTTCCACAAGTTAACAAGAAGGCAACCAAATTGACTACTAAGCATCACAGCCACAACATGTCTAATAACATTTAACTATTATCGCAGACCTTCTCGTACGATGGAAATGCATACTTCGACAGGTAAAGTGGATGTTCAAGAGTTGAACGAACCAGCCTCTGCACTGCCACAAATGTAAATTAACCATGATTAAGACAGGATTTGCGCGTAAGAAACATGTAAAAACTACAAGACCAATTGCTTGATGAACTATACCTGTTCAGGTGATTCATTATCCGGAGATTCTTTTATAATTTCTTTCAACATCTCACAATTCGAATGCGACCGAAGAACATTATCAACAAACTGAAAACAAAAGCATTCATAGTCTTGATAAAATTCAATATTCAATAAAAACTCTTTTAAAGTAGTGGTAAGAATTCATCACCTTCAATCCATCCTCATCGTTAAAAGTTTGAAGAAACGCAACGAGTGAATCGCGCGACCTTCTCGCCGGATCACTAAAGCCAGACCCAAACTTCCTATCATAAACATTTAAAAACTGCTTCCAGTCTCCTTGACTACCTTTCCTTCCTTGCTTTTGAGCTAACCTCACCACTTCAGCAAGCACCTGTCTCACATTCTCTTTTTATTAGAAAAGCAAAAACTAGTTTCATAATCAGTTCAATCTCTGTAAATTGCTGCTAGCTTTAGGTGAAGAAATCAAAATCAGTGTGATTATGTGTACAGAGAGGGAGAGGAAGGTTACCTTATCAGGCGCGGCGGCGAGTTTAGTGTCCATTATTTTGTGTTGAAGAGGAAAGCTGAGGGAGACGGAGGAGAGCGGCGGCTCGAGATAGATGAACTGACCGGTAAGGAAGGGTTTTTGAGTTGGGGTTTTTTGACGATATTGGTGTCTTAAATTCACATGACTGATCCCTCTATTTTGAGCATTTGGTTACGTAGACCATCATACTAAAATCTTAGGTAATTGTATCCCATACTTTTAGTTTATATATCCTTACACACAAAATTCGCATAAAAAATGAGTATTAAAACTCATATGTTAATCGTTTAATAAAAATTTTTTGGATTCTTAAATAGGGTTAATTTCTTGATTAATTGAGAAAAATAAACATGTAAGTTTCAATTCTTAGTTTTGATACTTACTTTTTAACAAGTGTCCCATGTGGCGTTTACCTTCCAAACGTAGCAAATTTTGATTAAAAAAACAAATTATATTAAATTATTATTAAATTTTGATTAAAAAAAAATTAACATTAACTTATTATTATCAGTTCAATGTTAGAGATATTTTGGATATATAAAAACTTAACTTCATTGTATAGAAATCGCGTGTAATAATTTTGTTAGTTTGGATGGAGGAGATATAACAATATGATATATTGAAAATACATAGATTTTTAAAAGCGGATCTGATGCAAATAAATATTTAGGGATAGATTGGATACAATCCTTAAAACATAAAGATAGATTGAATAATTTTCTTTTATGTTAATGTTTTAATCTCTTTCTTAATCACATATTGGGTTGAATTTACATATTAGTACTGTAATGTAAAAAAATAAATTCTTTCCTTCAATGAATTAGAAACCTTTTAATTTTGGAATAATAATAATAATAATAATAATAATAATAATAATAATAATAGAAAACATGTCAATATGTACTTATATATTATACCATCTGCAATCATGCTTTTTTTATAAATAAAAAATAATTATTATTATTATATATTTAGTTTGTTCTTAGTTTTTAGTAATTCAAACTTAAGTAAGTTCGGGTTGTATATTGAAATTATCACATGCAGTGCATGTGAACATTTATTTATTTTACTTAAAAGGAGTATTTTCTGTTGGCTTAAAAGGATATTTTTGCAAACACGCACTAAAACTTTCACGAGTTCAATTGGTGACAACTTTAATCGAAATAGTTGACAAAAGAATATATTTAAAAATATGAACAATTTAAATATTATAATTGATTAATTATTTATATAAATGTATGATTGATAAATAATGTAATATATAATATTTTTTATCTTTTAGGATATTTTGATGTAAACCCCATAAATTAAGTGTTTAAGAACTCACGAACAAGATGGATCATTTCTTATAAAGCAAAGATCAAATTGTAGATTGTTAAGAACTTTGACCCTAAGTCTAGATAAGACTTGAACTTGAAGGTTAAAGAAGGAATAGTTATCACACTCAAACAAGTAAGAAAGGAGTGATAAGTCTTTGAAAGCCACAAGTTTTATCAATTAAAATTTGATAACTTCAGTAAGTTCATGAGAGAACCAATGTGAAAATACCTCACTTTTATTAAAAATCAAAGTCGTCAAAATTCATACACATCAAAACCTCTTTATAGGTCGAAACAATATAAAACACTAGCGACTTAATTATGTCTCAATCCGTAAAATGTAGGAACGTCCTAAAATGTTGGAGAATAACCGATTCTTAGTTGCCAAATTAAAAACATGTTTAAATAATGCTTAAATAACAAATTCGGAGTTGGTTCAATTAATAGCATTTAAAAGTCCGAGTAATTAACTACTCATAGGCCTAATCAATCCAACTTGTAGCTAGGATTAGATTGATAATATTTAGAGGCTCTTCTTCTTGGAAAAATTTACCAAGTCGTTCATAAGTGCTTGGACATGGCTTTAGTTGCACACTTAGCCCAACTTGCTTGCACAAGTCCATTAAGTGCCTCTTTTAGCTTTTTAGCCTAGTTCGTATGATTGGACCTCCTCTAATATACGATGGATCAACTTGCATCCTTGATGTCACACCAACATAGTCTTGTTGGTCTTAACTCCCCCTTCTCCTCAAAAGGATTCGTCCTCAAAACTAAATCTTCTTCATCACCTACATCAAAAAGAGAAAGATTAAAAACATTGAATGTAACACAACATTATACTCACTTAGCATATCCAATTTGTAGATATTGTCATTAATCCGTGCAACTACTTAGAATGGCTCACCTTTACTAGGTTATAACTTAAAACAACGTTGGGTTGGGAACCTTTTCTTGTGCATATGTACCTAACCTAGTCTCTTGGTTTGAATACCATTTTCGTACGGCCTTTGTTTGCATAAGATGCATATTGCTTGGTTTTTATAACTATTTTCTATCACAGACTTCTCATGCCTTGTCTTTACCATTTCAACCTTATATTCACCATCGAAGCTAACATACTCACTAGAAGGAAAATGCATTAAACCTAATGGAGTCAAAGGATTGAAACCACATAAAACCTCAAATTGAGAGTAATTAGTAGTAGAATGAACAATCCTCTTATATGCAAACTCTATATGTGGCAAACAATCTTCCCATGTTTTCAAGTTCTTTTTAATGATAGCACGTAACAAAGTAGAAAAAGTTCGATTAACTACCTCTCGTTTAGCCATCTGTTGTGGATGACAAGTAATAGAGAACGAGTGGTTTAGTACCAAACTTATCGCACTATGTTTTCCAAAAATAGTGTAAGAACTTGGCATCCTAATCTAAAACACTCCTAGGCATACCATGCAAATGCAATGTCTTTCGAAAGAACAAATCGAGCAATGTTGTTGGCATTATCGGCTTTATGATATGGGATGAAATATGCCATCTTTAAAACCCTATCAACAACAATAAAAACAGAATCTTTACCTTTTCTTATCCTAGGTAAACCTACATAAAATTCATGGATAAGTCAACCTAAGGTGTACTAGGTATGCGTAAAGGTGTGTAAAGGCCATAAGATAAAACCTAAGACTACGTAAAGGTGTGTAAAGGCCATAGGATAAAACCTAAGATTATGTAATGTACTTCTCACACACTCGCTCAACAACTCGTTCCATGTGTGGCCAAAAGAAATGCTTAACTAAGATATCTAAGGTTTTCTTAACACCAAAAAAATCCTATTAAACCACCCCTCATATGCTTCTCGTACCATAAGCGCTCTCAAGAAACTCATAGGCACACATAATATATGCCTATACAATTTCCTATATATAGATTTATGATAAGCCCTATATATACCAAGCAAAGTCAAAATTAGTAGTATATAAATCCATAACGTGCTTAAATCTTAACAATTTTACATCAAGTGTAGAAATAATGGCATATTTGTGAGATAATACATTAGCTACCACATTATCTTTACCTTGCTTGTACTTGAAGATGTAGGGAAAGATCTTAAGGAATCAACCCATTTGGCATGTCTTCTGTTTAACTTTCCTTACCCCTTCAAAGTGCTTTAAGAACCGGTGATCCGTGTGAAAGATGAACTCTTTAGGGCACGATTAATGCCGCCATGTCTCCAAAGCTTGAATCAATGTATACATCTCCTTATTATAGGTGGGATAGTTTAGAGATGCTCTGCTTAGCTTCTCACTTAAATAAGCTATGGGTCATCTTTCCGCATCAAGACTCGCTCTAATGCCAATATTGAAGCATCGCACTCAATTTCAAAAGTTTTAGCAAAGTCAAGTAAAGTAAGTAATGTAGCAGAACTTAATTTTTCTTTAATTAACTTAAAAGTTGTAACCTCGCTCACTTCTCTATTTAAATCCCACCTTCTTTTTAATAACTTCAGTTAATGGTGCAGCAATGGTGCTAAAATCCTTAATAAAACATTTATAGAAACTAACAAGACCATAAAAACTATGCATATCACTAACTAATTTAGGCACGAGCCAATCATGAATTGCCTTAACCTTTTTTCATCTACCCGAAGGATCACGCATCCTACGGAGGTAGGAAATAAAAAAAAATTCCTCCATCTAAAGCCCCAAGATCAAGCCGTTGAATCTATTAACCATACATATATGAATTTAAGGCAATAAATAAAGGATTACCTCTTATAGAGCGGATCCAAATTCTTTTATCGGAAAAGCCATCCAATTTTTCGACCTCTATTGATGATCCATGCAATCCAAGTATCCATAAGGAAGCACTCAAAATCAATAGGGTGCTAGCTCTATTCTTTTCTGATTTATATAGTGTTTTTTATAAAAATCAATCCCGGGTAATTTTTGTGACAACCTTAAAAGAGAAGAAAAGAGTATTTTGATGCTAGGTTTTTGGAGAAAACTATTTTCTCTTTTTTTCGCTTTGCCATGTGCCCTAGTTAGTTTTTATGGCCGGCATAATTTTTTCTTTTTCTCTCTCTTTTGTTTAGTTATCACACCTCTTTTTCCCCTTTATATTTATAGGAGAGTTTCGGAGGATAAGGAGAGGGGCGACATTAAGTCCCCTCTAGGACTCTAGGTTGTTGCTTCCTTATCCTCCAAGGATGAAGGGTTATTTCCATATGTAAATTTTTTTATCATTATCTTCAAAACATTCATCCTTATCCAATAAGGTTAATGTTTATCCTCTTATCAAAATATCTTAAGGCTTTTAATTAAACCTAATGGGTCAAAATCATATTAGCTCAATTAATTTATTTGGACTATCTAAATAAATAACCTTAGATTATTTTAGGCGAGTCCGTATTAAGGAATAATTTTTTAAAATATCCTTTAACCTAAAGTAGGAAACTCATTTTCATTTTAGGTTATTTACTTTCAAATTTGAAACTAACTTCCAAATTAGGAAATTGATTTCTAAAATAGAAAACTTTCCATTTTAAGAAACTTTCTAATTAAGAAAACTTTGTATTTTGGAAACCCTTTCCAAAACAGAAAACTTTCATAATTGAAAATTTTTTTCCATATTTTTACTTCTCATTTATAATGTGAATACTTAAATTTATACGTATGACTCAATAGGCTCCTAGATATGTTG